GCCATACAATAAATAAATCCTCGTATTTGAAATGGTACTCACTGCAAACAAATAGATATATTTTTAATTAGGACAACTAGGGACAAGTTTTAAAAATTGGAATATATTTCTGAATATTAACAAAATTCAATTGTGTAAAAATATTTTTGAAGAAATTCAGATATTTTTTAAAAGTTAATTTAAAGTTTTAAAAAAAGTAATGAAAGAAGAGAAACTTCTATGTGCTTATTGCTTATATAATTAATATAATAATGTAATATTTTAATTTAATTTAATATTTTTAAAAAGTATATACCAATATAAAAATAATTTACTTTACAGAAACCAAAAACATTAATTATTTAAAAAGTTATTTATTCTTAAATTAACAGCTCACTTTACGCTAACTCACTGTAAACTAAGCTGAGTTAAAAAAATGTTCTCAGCTTAAATTACAAACAAACAAAGCTATTATTTTGAAAATAGACCCTGTTTATTATGTTTTTCGTAAATAAAAGTAACTGTAGGTTTTTTTTATAGATTGAAAACAAATAAACTTAGCGATTGTCTTGGGAGATGTTAGTAAATATGTTCTGTTTTGAGAATAGATAATGTGCATAATATTTTGCAGGACACAAAACTCTTTGTAAAATCTATGGTCATCTTGTCAATAAACATTTCATTATTATGTGCCAGTCTAAATGTATTAATGATTAATACATTTCCCTGTCTAAATGATTAATACACTTGGAGTGGCAAAACAATGTCAATGTTGACTTGTGACTTTAATATTAATGTATATATATATATATATATATATATATATATATATATATATATATATATATATATATATATATATTTATTTATTATTTATTTTAATTCACCTCCTCAAGGCCGAGAAGGCCACTACAGACGAGGAGGCTACTTATTTGTGGCTATAACCCTCTCTCAACTCTATAACTCTGAAACACGAACCTTGACGAACAAGGCCGCTGCGCGGAGAAACGAGTTGAGCGCGGGTACTACCAGGGACGTGGTGGAGATCGAACTCTATGATAATAATATATATATATATATATATATATATATATATATATATATATATATATATATATATATATAAATATATATATATATATATATATATATATATATATATATATATATATATATATATATATATATATATATATATATATATTTATATATATATATATATATATATATATATATATATATATATATATATATATATATATATATATATATATATATATATATATATATATATATATATATCAGGGCTCAAATTAACGCAAAAAAAACTAATCGCGAAAAAAAAAATTTTTTTACCCTCTCTCTCCCCCCCCCCCTCCTTATACCTTGCGCCGCTTTGCGGTAATGGGAGGGGGAGGTAAGTTGCGTTAGTATATAATTGTAAGTTTTGTACGTAATTGTTCTATTTTTAACATATTATCTCTCATATTTAAATATAATCTTATCATTTTCTTGTTTGGCTGAGTTTAAAATAGTGTAAGTTACTGTTATTATTTACAACTTAAGTTATAACTTAAAGTTTAAGTTGCAGTTGTAATAAGCAATAACGTTTTTAATACTATTAAGATATTTCTTTAAGTATATTTTTACTTAACATGATACTTAAAAAAATAAAAGTAGAAAAGTAAGAGAAAAAGCAACATTACAATATCTAAACCACTTCAATTACTCAAAGAAAACTATTTAATACGTTCATGCTGACGTTAAAACACGTGTTAATTTAAAAAAGTATTTAATTGTTAAAAGCTATAAAACAACATTAAAACAAACTGCAAAGTTGTTTTTAAAAATATAAAGAGCCTGGAATAATGTAAAACAAATTCGTGACGCTGTTTTGTTTTGATTTATACAGTTTATAAAACAAAACTTCTTATTTGCGCCTATAGACCTATACGAGTTTGTAATCTATAGACCAAACGAGTAAGATCAAAGCAAAAAAACATTAGATACCACATCTTGTATAAATTATCGTTTCCTGATCGAGCGTACTATTAAAAATGTAAGTATAATTAAGTTTTTCATTTTTCAAAACATCAGTTTAAAAAGGTTTTTAAACTGATGTTTTCATTCAATTTTTTTTTATTCTAATTGTTTTCCAAAAAAAAAAGTGAAACAAAAAATTTTGTTAAATAAATCAAATTATATTAAGTGTAAGAATATGCTTAAATTATTTTTTTAGAAAAAAATTTTTTCAAACAGAAGTAAAATAATTTATTAAATTTAATTTAAAATTTTTATAATTTTTATTTTAACTTGCAATTTGCAATCACAGCTTTGATGTTTGCAATAGAATGTTCCTACTTTTAAAACTATTTTCAAGAAAAAATATATAATTCAAAATGTTAACAAAATTTACGATTTACGAAAAAAAAACTTTCATCTTCATTTTCCCATCAAACTTTTTTTAAATTTTTAAATTTTTTTTTTCAATTTCAAATTTCAATCACAAAATTATTTGAATAAGTCAATTTTAAGGCTAAAGTTCTCTTGTTCAAATAGATTTCTTTTTAATTAAAATTCCTGAAAACAACTTGCGTATGTTTAAGTCTAGATGTCGCTATAAATAAAATGAAAATATAAAAAAATGGTGTCACGTTTTTCATATTCTATTGAACAATTTTTGTTAAAATAACTAGTTAAAAGTTTATATTATGTTTTAACAACATGTAAGACTTTTGAAATATGTCTATGGCTAACTTTTGCGAGTATATTAAATAAATTAATATAATTGTTAAATTAATACTTGAGTAACTGTCTTAAGTTACTATCTTATCTTAACTGGTTGTTTTAACTTAAGTTATAAGTTAATTTACTGTGATATACTCTATCCATTCAGTAAAGTTAACTAAATATAACTTCAATAGTTTCAATGTTGTTAAAAGCAAAAAACGTTAAAGCAAAAAAGTTGCTGGTTTCTATTAGTACAATTTTACTAATAGAAATTTTATTTAATAAAAACGAATTAATATATATTTTATAATACTTAAAGTAGTAAAAATAATTATATAAAATAGTTTATAAAATAATAATTTAATTCATTATTAATAAGTTAATTTGGAGCAACATTTTTTTTAAAAAAAGATAAAAATGCTGTTTTGTTAAAAAAAATAGAACGAAGAAAAAATTCTGTTTAACTTTTGTGTTTTTAATTTGCTACTAAGCAGAGAGCTAAAGTAATTTAAATTAAAAAGTGCTTTACGTTGAATAAAAATCTCCTCGTGAAAAAGCAAATGATCATGCTTCTATTCAAAAGACAAACTTTGGGTGACGTACTTTACTATGAAAACATTACTTTTTAAGAATTGCCAAAAGAAAAAGCTAAATTAGAAAAAAAGTAAATAAACAACTAAAAAGTAAACCAATTGCGAAAATATATGTTTTAAGAAAAAACTAATCGCGAAAGTATAAAAAGCAATCACGATTTGCGATATATATATATATATAATATATATATATATATATATATATATATATATATGTATATATATATATGTATGTATATATATATATATATATATATATATATATATTATATATATATATATATATATATATATATATATATATATATATATATATATATATATATATATATATATATATATATTAGGGTGTGTCAACAACATTTTTCAAAAATGTCTAATGATACCCCCTAAATGTGTTCTATGTAATAAAGTAATACTGAATTAAAAAAATTTTTAGGGGTTGCTCAAGACCCTTAAACATTAGATGGGTACCTAGTATTTTGAAAAAAAAAGTTCTTTAAAAGCATATCATGTTGGGTCTCAAAAGAAGTACATTTTTATAAATATTTCAAAAATAATAATCATTTGCAATCCGTTGCCAAATTAGCATCTTCTAAAGTTGCATCTCTTTATCGAGCTCGACACTCTCTTACTCTGGATTCTATTCTCTATCTCTATAAATCTCAAATCTGGCCTTGTATGGAATACTGTTGCCATATCTGGGGCGGATCTTCTAATGATGCCCTTTCTCTTTTAGACAAGGTGCAAAACTCTGGATTCTATTCTCTATCTCTATAAATCTCAAATCTGGCCTTGTATGGAATACTGTTGCCATATCTGGGGCGGATCTTCTAATGATGCCCTTTCTCTTTTAGACAAGGTGCAAAAGGTCTTAGTTGGACCTGCTCTTGCAGCCAAACTTCAACTATTATCACATCGCATAATGTCGCTTCTCTTTCTCTTTTCTACAAATACTATAATAGGCACTGCTCTAAAGAGCTAGCATCTCTTGTACCATCTACTAAAATTCATTCTTGTGTTACTTGTCATTCAATTAAATCTCATCCTTTTTCTGTGACTGTTTTTAGGTGTTCCAAAAACTCTTATTCCTCTAGTTTTTTTCCTTGAACATCAGTTCTTTGGAATTTGCTTCCTTCATCTTGCTTTCCTGATTCATATAATTTGCAATCTTTTATGTTGTCTATCAATCGTTATCTTGCTTTACAATCTTCGTCTTTTCTCTTTCAGTAACTTTTAACTCTAATTAGTGGTTGCTTGCAGCCTTGTTGAAAACAAAAATGTTTAAAAAATTTTTTTTTTTATATGATTACTAGTTTATATTTTTTTGCTTTTTTTAAATAAACTTTTTGAATTTGTATTTCCATACATTTTTTCTATTTTTGAAATTTTTATAAAATTTCACTTTTTTTGAGACCCAACATGATATGCTTTTAAAGGACTTTTTTTTTTTAAATATTAGGTACCTGTATATATATATATATATATATATATATATATATATATATATATATATATATATATATATATATATATATATATATATATATATATATATATATATATATATATATATATATTATAGATATGTATATTTTATATATAAGTATTTTTTGATATGATTGAATATAATAATAATAATTTTTATAAAGTGAGTTAAATAATTATTTATTCAATTATTTTTTTGCTTTATTTTAGGAAGTGTAGTTGCTGTAAGAGGACATGAAGATAGTTCTGGAAAGTTTGTTGTTGTGAATTTTTCCTATTGTGGTTTGCCTTATTTACCCTGTCCTAATATTGATGCCTGTTTAGTGAAAGAGGATCGGTAATAAAGACATAAATAAAACTGATCATACAATAAAAGATTTTTAATTGAAAAAAAGTATAATACTTTTAATTTGTTTAGTTTGAATTCAATTTTTTTTAGTTATTTGCTGTTAACATCAGGGTTAGGTATTGGAGATTTATCTGAGAATTGTTTGTTATTACAAATTGTTATTGATCTCGTTTCTGGAAAGCTTGGAAATGAGCATGTATTAGTTTATATATTTTTTATTTTTTTTCATTATAATAATTTATATATATATATATATATATATATATATATATATATATATATATATATATATATATATATATATCAGGGGCTATTTTAGACTGTTTTCGACAATGTCGACCATATTTAAGTGCCAATTTGGGCGCGACCCAAATTAAATTTTTTTAAATTTAAAAAATTTTTTTTTACTTTTTTTACAATGAATTTTGTTTGTTTTTTTTTGTGAAAAAATGCCAATTTTCCGCCAAATATCTCTGTGAGGGGAGGGGGAACGCCTCCTTAATTTTATATATATATATATATATATATATATATATATATATATATATATATATATATATATATATATATATATTAGGGTGGTTCAAAAAACAACTTTTTTAAAAATAGTCTCCTGCTCTTAACTAAATGTGTTCTATATAATACAAAAACACTAGGTTTAAAATTTTTTTGAACAAAAAATATTTTTTGGGGTGCCTCATGACCCTTAAAAATTTGACGGGTCCCTAATATTTTGAAAAAAATAGTTTTTCTAAGGTTTGTCAACCTGGTACTCAAAAGAAGCGAAATTACATAAAAACTTGAAAAATAATAATTAATTTACATAAAAAACATGTTTTAATAAATTTTTTTTAAAAAAAACTTAAAAATGTTGACTTTTTTTATTATAACCTTAAAAACAATAGTTTTTAGGCAATTATGTCTGAAAAAAATATTTTTATGTAAACTGATTATTATTTTTGAAGTTTTTTTATAATTTCGCCTCTTTTCAGTACCAGGTTGACATACTTTTAAAAAACTTTTTTCAAAACATTAGGGACCTGTCAAATATTTACGGGTCTTGAGGCACCCCAAAAAATATTTTTTATTCAAAAAAATTTTAAACCTAGTATTTTTGTTTTATATAGAACACATATAGTTATGAGCAGGAGACTATTTTTAAAAAAGTTGTTTTTTGAACCACCCTAATATATATATATATAAGCGTGTGTGATCGCAATTAATAATTGACCGCAGAAATAATATTTACTTTGAGAACATTTTAAAAACAAACAAAAAAGCGCAATAAGATTAACTGGACGGATGAGAGACAGTTAGAAAAAGAAAAAATAGCGAAAAAACTTTAAGCAAAATAAGTACGATTAGAGAAAATATTTTTGAAACATCGCTTTTTAATAATTTTTTTTTATAAAATTAAGTGACATTTTTTATATAAAGTAATATAATGTAAGTTATATAAAGTAACTTACTATTAATGATTGTTTAATAAGGAAACAAATGTTCTTCGATTTATCAAAGAGTATATATAATTTTAAGAGTATATATACTTATGTCTTATTTCCAGTGCTGGATTGAGGAGGTAGGGGGGTGTAGAAGGGCTATAGCCTCGGGAATCACAATGTTAGGGGCCGCAAAATAGTCAATATGACCATTCGGTATTTTTTTTAGTCATTTTTACGCTGTGGCACATAAAAAAGGCCACCAAAATAATGCAGTCCCCGGCCCTGAAAAGTCCAACAAGATTCAACCAATAAAACTAATGCTAGATGATTTATTTTCAAATGAAAAAGTTTTTTCAATAACTGTTTTATACTTTGCGTAGTTTGAAAATTTTAACACATTTGAAACAATTTTTCTTAGTAAGATGAACAAATAAAATAATTAAATCATTGAGTTACTGTAGAAATTTAATTAGCTAAATAGAAATTAACTAAAAACGTTAAATTACTATGTGAGGAGGAAGCAGAACTGCTTCACAATAACGCTGATGATTTTAAGTGAGTGGGCTTTATAATTTTAATTAGTATTTAAAACAGAAAAAAATAACTTCAAGTTTAAGTATAACGAGTTTGTAAAAATGGC